TATGTAGCGTTAACCCTTTTAGGTACAAAACTAAATTGTTTTATGGATACATTATAATTACAATTTAATGTATTGTAAAATTTTAATGATTTTTTTTAGTTTCAATTATCAATTGATCATATATATTAGAGTGTTCTGAGGAACAGCCTTTTTAAGAGTCTCATATACACAGAGGGAAAAATAAATATACAGGCGTGGTACCAAATTAACATCAAATTTTTCAATAACATCTATTGTCAAGTATATACATACATACAACAACAACATGTAATGTAGACCACGCAACTTTGTCAACGTGGTAAGCTCAAAATGCGTTATGAATAGTGAGCTTACCACGTTTGTTAACATTTAGACAACGGATGTGCATAAAGTTTAGATTGCGACAACGAATTGTTGCAATGTTGACACGAGAAAACAATTTCTGAACTCTTTATAATTTGTGAAAAGTAACAGTTCTCAATATTTTATCAGTTCAACGTCTGATCGGGAAAAATAATTTAAAACATTTTAGAGTATTTTTGGTCCACAAAATGATTCTAATGACTATTCTCAATTCAATCTTAAAAACAAGTAAGATTGTATAGTAGGTCATGGCCGACCATGTAATACCCTATACCATTGAGAAGTATATAAAAAATGTATATTATTTTAAAGGAATTTGCGTCTACATTATGCAGAATTTCATCGTGATATTGGTGTTTATAAGTGAATTTTGACCTTCAAGTCATTATCTGAAGGGGACTTTGTAGGGGGGCTGTGGTCCCGATCATTACGAAAATAAGCAGTATCATTTATACTTACATAAAACTAAGCTTTGACGATTTTAGTAGAAATACAAGAACATTTAACATATTATGAGCCAAAAAACCCTATTCAGGGGTACGGTTGTATGGGGGTTAGGAGAAATAATGGACCGATTATAATTATTGGGTCGAAAGAAGAGTAAGCGCCAAATTTCATCAAATAATCGTGCACACCAGGTTTACATGGACACACAGACAGACGGACATAACTAAATCGACTCAGAAAGTGAGCCGATTGGTGTTCTTTAAGGTGGGTTTAAAACCAATATTTTTGGGTGTTACAAACATCAGCACAAATGCATAATACCCTCCGCACTATAGTGGTGTAAAGTATAATTACTTAAAAATTTATGTTCGAATTTGCAAAAAACACTTAAATGAAGTGGGCATTAGTTACAAAATCGAGCACAGAAATTCTTGAATAAAAATCTATTTGCAAGCGTGTTGGCGCTTGAAACTCCTTTATTTTTAAATTCAAATATGTGAAAAAGTATTTAGTTTGATCCTAAAAATATTAATAAGATTGAGCCGAACTTGAATCAAGTATTTTGTTCTTATTTTAAGAATAAAATTTCCTTTGAAAAGGATTGTAGAATGTTTCTAATTTTATTTCAATTTTTGTACTGAAGCTTCCAATATTAGTAAGAATTTTAAAATCAGAAATAACTATATTTATATTTCTGGAGGCATAAAAGAAATAAAATTTCTTTTAAAATTCTCGTCATAAATGGTTAGTAAAATAAATAAAATTTTCCAAGAAAACCTTCCATAAAGATAATTTCTCGAAAATTTCGTGTTTTCAATAGAAGCACAGACAGACAGGCATGTCTAGATTGACTTAGAATCTAACAGGGACCCAGATATTTGTTTTAATTTTAACTGTCAAAAAACTATATCGATAACAAAACAAATAACTCAACAAAAACATTTATATATGAGGTGTATTTCTATATTAGCATTTAAGCACTTTAATATTTATTTGCTATTTGTATGATAAATATTGAAATACTTGAAATTCTTTTACTGACCACAAGTTTTCCATTGTTTTTTTTTTTTTTTTTTTTTTTTTAATGTAGAATATTATTTCCGGAATTTTAGTTTAGTAAACTAAAGTTAAAATGAACTTACATAAAAGAGTTTAGGAAATGCAGATTATTAAATTACCTGGAATGAAAAAAGAGAAAATTGTAAATATAGTAGTCATTAAATATTACTTTAAAATGAAAATAAATAAATAAATTGTTAATGCAAAAATATTGTAAAACGTTTATCTCAGTTCTTTCGCTACACATAACGTTGGCTCCGTTCTGATGTGTTCACCAAAAATGAAATTATTTTATTTTTTTCTAGAATACTTCGGGCCGGCAAAACGACTTTTAGTGCGTTACGAGGGGCATAATCTAAAGATAATCTACATAAGATTAAAATTACGACAATAATATGACTCTCAACCCCACTAAAAACCATTTTGTAGACCAACAATACTCTAAAATTAATAATTTTTGACTTCAGAATTTTCAATCTCTGATAGAGAACAGGGGGCCATTCCATAAAAATATTTAAAAGAAATTAAAACATTTTTTGGGAACATTGAAGAAATTTCTATCTAAAGCCCTTTGGACAAATTTCGCTAGCACTAATAGATGAAAAATTACACTCATTTGAAAAAAACCCTGTATGACCAAAATAAAGTCCGATAATTACGAAAATCGGTAGTATTATTAAGACGTATATAGAACTAAGGTTTTCCGATTTTGGAAGAGATACTACGATATTTAACATAATTATGAACTTAAAAGCCCTTTTCGGGGAGTAGGGTTGTATGGGGGCTAGGTGAAATAATGGACCGATTTCAACCATTTTCAATAGGCTTCGTTTTTGACCGAGAAACACGTATGGTTCATCAAAATAGCTTGAAAATTGCGACCTGTACCTTGCGCACAAGGTTTACATGGACAGCCATCCAGACGGACGGACGGACATGGTTTAATCGACTTAGAAAGTGATTTTCAGTCGATCGGTATACTTTAAGGTGGGTGTAGGACCAATACACAAACGTATAATACCCCACCCACTATTGTGGTGTAGGGTATTACAAAAATAGGCAAGCAATATTAAATCCTCTAAATCCTTACAACGTTTAACTTAAAAATTTACAATTCGTTATTCACTTTTTTATTCTAGAAGAGCCGCCATTGTTTTTTGTTAAATTTTTTATTCCTAATTTCAAAAGCAAAGCAAATCTTGACTATCGCTTCTAAACAATTGATTTGTATTGTAAACTAAACTCATTGTTTATTGTTTTAAGGTAGTGTTTTGAAACAACAATACTATTGGAACTATTTGGTAGCACAGTGGGTGTTAAGCTGTCAAAAATATAGATAAACGATGGTCAAAAAGAGAATAATAGAAAATAAACAATATGTCAGTCCAAGTATTTATAATTTTTTAATAAAGCAGTAATGGTTAACTTTATAAAATTCTGAATGAATTTGAAATATCTTTAACTTAATTAACAAATAACAGAGTAAACTCTTCTACAAATTCAAAACATGCTACTTTTTCAAAATAATTTTATTTAATTTGACAAAATTTTCTAAAATAAAATGTTACAAAAGAAAAACGCCTTAAAACTAAACAATGTTGTAAAACACACAAAATCTTAGAATAATTTACAAAAACTTACAAATAAAATTTACCAAAATAAAAACAAAATTTGCAATTTTCTTAACTAAAACCATAAAGAAAATGAAAACAAGAAACACAACTAACTCTACGATTCAAACTAAAAAAGAAAAATCGCAACCTAATTTCTAGGCAAAAAAGGTTTCTTTTAACACTTCCACTTTAGTTTACCATAACGCCCAGCAGCTAAAGATTTCCGTTAAGAAACATGCAGCCAAACAAACAGAAACAATTTCCAAACTCGTTTTTATTATTTAGGCTAAAGAGGTTTTTTCATCTTCTTCTTCTTCTTGAGAGTATGACGGTACAACAAGGTTTTCCAATTTTCTAGCGAAAACGAAATAAGTTTTCGTGGAAAAGTTTCCTTATTAAAGGACTTTTCTTGCCACTTCTTTAGAGATAGAAAATAAAAGTAAAAATGGGGAGAAAACTTGAGAAATGAACAGCAAAGTGTTTATAAGAAACAAACTTTAACGAGCAACATTTTCAAATGAAGCATTGCAGGCACAAACACACACATATTTATACCTACATATGTAAATCATAGGCTGGCTTCCTAGACTAACAGGAGCAGTATAATTTCGTATGTATTATACACAACATGTTCGCTAACAAATGTCATAAAAACAAATGTATACAAGACAAACAAATTGTAACTGTCAAAACAACTTTAGCATCATATTTGATCTGTTTGCCGTTCCCGATGCAAAAACGCATTCATGTATTTCACAAATTTATTTGCTATTGTTGTTGCTTTTTTCGTTTGCCTGTTTTCTTCTTCTTTGCTGTGCGTTTCGCGGAAGTAAAGTGTTGTTTGGTTGAACAACTCACTGTTTCGTTATTATTTGTTGCTAGTTTCACATTAAGCCTATAACCCCATAAAAATTGAAAATAAACGCCCCTCACTAACATACATTCATAGAAACCGTCGTCATACTGAAAAGTAGATTCAATACATGGCCTCTCGAAGTTTGAATTATGTTTCCTTTCGTTGTGTGCTCTTGCCACTTCCGGTAGATGTTTAGTTTCACTGCAGACTCATATAATAACCAATGGCGTTCGTTGGCTGTTTGTATTTCTGTTCCACCATTGCTGATGTTAATGTTATGTTGCATGTTGCTATTAAAGTTGTTAGTGTTATTTTTGCTGTTGTTGTTGTTGCTGTTGTGCTGGGTTTTATTTTTGTTTAAGGCTTTTAGCCAAAATAAAAATATCCACAAAAGTACTAGTACAACAATGAAAGAGTTGTTTATGTTGTGTGTGCGTTACAACTTTCTGTGGCACAAACATAAATTTTATTTAATTTTATAAAACTCACTCGAGCACGTTTCGTTCTTTGGTAAAAGTGGCATACAAAATATGGCCTTTATGGTGAATTGGTTATTTTTTCTTAGTTTTGTTTTTTTTTTAGGTCGGCACAAAAATAAAAATACTAAAATAAATGCACATTACACACAGATTTCGTTCAAGTTTTTAATAAAGTTTTATTTTGTGTTTTATTTTATTTTACAGATACATTTTCTTGAGGAATTTCTTGCAAACACAATAAATTGCATCTAGAGGTGTGCACTTTTTCAAGACGAGGTCTTTTTATGAAAGAGGTAAGACTTTTATAACCTGAAATACTTTAAGAGAAATGAAAGTTAATCTTCAAGAAACTTATTGACCGCCATAGCGTATGACTTTTGAAATATTAATCATACGCCTATTGTTTCTGTTTTTGGAAAATGTTATGTTAAATAGGAAGATAATAAAATCTTATTAGAGTAAAACGTCTCTTCATCACTATAGTGGGGAGGGTATTATGCGTTTGTGCTGACCAAAAATATTGGTCCTACACCCACCTTAAAGTATACAAATCGGCTCAGAATCCCTTCCTGAGTCGATTAAGCTATGTATGTCCGTCTGTCTGTCTGTGTAACCATGTAAACCTTTTGCGCACTCTACAGGTCGCAATTTTTGAGAAAATTTGATGAAATTTAGAATTTAGCGCTATTGAAAATGTTTGAAAGCGGTCCACTATTTTACTTCGTACAAAAGCCCGGACCCCCCGAATAGGGCTTTGACCCTTACAAAAATTGGAAAAACTTATTTTTATATAAATCTTAATATTCTAGCAATTTTCGTAAAGATCGGGCATTATTTGACCGATATAATTTGTTATTTTGTTGTTTGTTTGCTCCCTGGATCCAATGACGAAGGCTGTTGAAAATGATTGAAATCGGTATTTTATTTCTCCTAGTCAGCACATAACCGTACATGAACAGAACCTATGGATCCTATGTAAGATTCAACTTAAATGCTTTATTATTGAAAATGAATAACATATAATATTCGCAATTGGTGTACGGTATCATATGGTCGGTCATGCCCGTCTATAGTATCTTACTTGTTTCTATTGAATGATTCGCACGGAATTTTGAGTAATTTATAACGTTTTGAAACTTATATTACAACACCCTACACAATGTATAGACGGGCACGTTCAACCATATGACCCTCTACATCAGTGAGTATTTTAAAAATGTGTATTTATACCCTACACCACTATATTTGTAATAACCGAAAACATTTGTCCTACACTCAACTTAAAGTAAATGTCAGAATCACTTTCTGCGTCATTAAAGCCATATCCGACCGAATCTTATTGAAAAAAGTTGAAATAACTCCATTACATGACCTAGCCCCCATACAACCGTACCCCCCGAATAGGGCTTTGGAATACATAATTCACTACAATTTGTGAGGATTTTCTTCGTGGTACAACTCTTTATAAGTGAATTATTGAAAACAACACAACTTTTAAACTCACTATTTATAATGACTTATTTAAGCACTTATTTGTAAGAGAGTAAAAATGCTAATGAATAAGTAGTGAAAATCACTATTAAGTCTTTTTCTATTTAAGCGACTGCTTGATATGAAAACAACATAATTTATTTTAAATTTTCCAACCATTTCACCTTCAATTTCCATAACAAGACTATGAAAAATATCATACTTTAACTTAAACTCAAATCAACGTTATGCTTTTCAATACCATGAAATAGCCAAGATGATGTATGAACTAATACAACAGAATAGAAACGATCATAAAAAATAAACACCTTGAGAACGGGCTGTAAACATTTCAATGATGGTACACAAAAGTGCATGAAATATACTTCCAACAAATATATTTGCAAATAAACAGTTTTTACTAAAAATAAACACAAATATATGTGCATATATACAGGTGTACATACAATATAAACGTACTGCATAAAAACATATGTACATACATACCTTGCAACGACACAACAATCGTCAACAATAAAGAATGAGACCTGAACGAATGAAATGATAAAGTAGGATGGTACATCAATGCAACTACCAATTTTTTCTTAAAAGATTTGGCATCATATCAGTCAGTTTCGAAAATATTTTATATTACAAGGTATCAATCTGTAACCATCTACATAAGTACAAACATACTTATAAATTTTTAAAATTTGTATTGTAAAAATTATTTATTCTATTAAAGCTTTTTTGAATGTACCAACCTAACTCTAAAAATTACACAGTATGTATTTTTCCACAATAAGTATACATCGTGTAATGCAAGAATATACCCCCCAAAAACACATAGAAAAACACATTCAATATCGCTAAAAGTCGCTGCTGTTTTCGTTGTTTATTGTTAAAAGGAACGAAACAATAAAATGAATATTGAAAAAAAAAGAAAACAAACCAATTGAATAAAAAACTACCAAAATAGGTAATAGAAAAAAAAGAGTTTTTATTGAAAGAGTTGAAAAAAAACGACAGAAATTGAAAAAGAAAATAAATGTAAGAAATATACAATAATACAACTAAAAAACTAAGGTATGTAAACAACGTGTACAGAATAAATAGGCCAACAACATCAACTTCTATTTGCAACTGAACGATGAACAAGACGAGGACAATAACAAGACGCAGCTGTAATAACGAAAGTAAAACCACTACCATATGATGACGATGCTTATGTTGAAGGTAAATGCAAACAATGAGTTCTGTGAAGCAACATACAAATATCCGAAAAAAATTCCATACTAAACACGTATCTCAGATATCCCGTTCTGACATACATACGAGGGCAAGTTAGAACGTTTAAGAAAATTGGTGAACATTTGTATATTGTTTAATAAAGTCTTAACAAAATTTCATATTTTGGCACTAAACTTATTGATGTCGATTCCAATGTTTGTTAAAACTTATTTTATTGAATCCTTACTAACATAGGTTTGAGAAATATTTTACTCGGGAATTTTCGAGTAAAAATTCCTAAATGAATCTAATGGATTACTAATATAATAAATGGCCGAGCTGCGCTGAATCCGAATCTGATCTCAGATTTTCTCCATCATAACTGTGATTTGAGATATCGCGCCCTGAAGTTTGAAAACAGTTTTTGGTCCTTTAAAATAAAGGCTGACATATGTATCTTCTTTCTTCTTCGAGATATCTTCACCCATGATTTTCGATATATTATTCATGGTATTTATACCTTACACTATTTTAGTGCGAGGGTATTATGTTTTGAAAATATTTTTTTTTAACGAACAAAGATATGGAACCAAGCCTATCTTAGAATGTTCCAATCGGCTCAAAATTACTTTCTGATTCGATTTAAAGACATCTGTCCAGCCGTAAACTTCAAGGGGTTATATCTCAGCAATTACAGCAAATTATATTGAATATATAACGAAATGTTGTATCAAGCTTTATGTGAAGATCTCTTCTCTCGTAGAAGAAAAGAGATATGTCAGCTGTTAAGTCTTTATTTTAAAGCTGACAGAATGGAATTTCAGATGACATAAAACATTTTGTCCTGGAGCTGTTATAATGTCTCAAAAAGCGCTTGAATGGTATTTTTTCAAACTTCAGGACACAATATCTCGAATCTAGGTTAAATTATATAGAGGATGACTGATCAATTGATCATAAAATATATAAAAATTCACGAAATTTTTTTTTGAAGAAATATCGTTACAACGAATGATGTCCAATGATGAAAATTGTTAAATCGATTCAGAATATGATATAAAAATATCCTCCCCCATTATAACGATTTAACGTACCGAAAATTCGTGAAAGGGTTTCGGTAAAAATTTGAAGTAAATAAAGATGTCAGTTTTATAGTTTTACATATTAACATACATACTTACAACAATACAGCAGCTACAATATGGAAAAACTAATAAAACACACATACAACATGGCATAAAAATTCTTTAAGCAAATATTGGCTGACACGTGAAGTGGTTTTTGAATTGTTTGCATTTTGGCGGTTATATTTTCTTTTTCAACCAGTTGATGGAACTCTTCCTCATACAGGAATTTCTATAGAAAATTGTAGTTTTATTTAAAGAAAGTTGACAATAACATTAAGAAAAAAAAAACGTAGCAAGAATAGTTTTTATTTTGTAAAATATTGGTTAAGAAATTGAATTTTCTGTCGTTGATTGTATTCTGTGAAATGATAAATTTGTTTTATGTGACAACCAAAGATAAAAATAAGAAATAAATGTATTTATTGTCATATATAAAATTTGTCTTCACTGCTTTCTGTAACTAATTCGCGTAAAAAAATATTGTGCACACAAAAAAAACAGCGAGTTAAACAAACTTCACGGAAAACGTGGCGTATGATTGATGAACAATACATAGTTTTTGTGTTAAATGTTAGTCATACGTACAGGGTGCAACAGATTTAAAGTAAACGTTAAATGTTGTTTTCTAATTATTTAAATTCAAGAAATTTAATTTATTTTAAAACTTAAACAGTAAAAATGTGATTAATAATTGTATCAATTTATTTATTCCCTACACATTCACTGTAGAGCTAAAGGTAAAACTTTTAAAGATTTAAAATAAAATGTTTGTCTTGTCAGAAATGTTTTTTAACGTTTCAAAATAAAAATTTTAAATTCACACGATTGTTAGACATTTTCTGAACATTTTTCTGCCAACGTTGTAAGATCTGACAGATTTTATCACAGATTTTAGCTGCTATAGTCCAATCGGATATGCCGATAAATTCTTACTTATTTCATTTGCAATTAAATTGTGGTATTTCAAATATGTGTAACGTAAAACAATCGTCTATACATATTTGAATACATCAATTTCTAGTTTTAATTATTTATTTGTGGCTTTTATTGAATAAATATATAAAATATTTAGTTTCATTACTGGCACGTTTAGTTCGAAGGTTGAAAAACCGCAAAAAAATAAATAATATATCAATTTATTTTTATTTATTTCATGTTTAAAGAAGACGAATGTCTAAACTAAATAGCTACAATTAGTTTATAAAAATTGCAACCGCCAAAAATTGACAAATGTGTTTAAATTTAGGAGAAAATTCAATAAAAATTATATTTTTCATTCATTTAATAATAATGTAACATCTAATTTATTAAGCTAAATTAAATTTGTTTACAACAGAATTATGGCTCCTTTTTAAATTCTAATTGCTCTTTTTTGTTAACAAAAACTAAACTTTTCATTTGTAACCCAAATGTACATACATATATCTATTTAAATGTTTTTTTCAATTGTAGCTTGGTTTTCCGTT